CTCAGGGCCTGAAAAACCCTGTCGCTGGAGTCCCCTTTCCCCGTCCCTCAAGACGTCGGAAATGGTTCATCAGACGGAGAAGGAACTAGAGCTGGGCTCCCCCACGTCGTGGGTGGGGAAAGGGATCCAGAATTCCTCACTGAGGATGCTTATTTTGGAACAGTGTCTCTTTAGTACCACCTTTTACAGGGTAACCTTTACCACTCACACTCCTGTCCTCCTTACCTAAGGCATTTGGGCACAGTGCACAGGATGTCACTCAGTGTTTGGAAGCCAGCATATAAGAAACACTCATCTATGATTATGCTTAGTAAGGGTGCAGTAAAGCACATTAGGCTGTTTTATTTATTCCTATGTTCTACCAGTTTCTGTAGACACGTGTAATTCATTTATGCAAAGGGAAGTTGTGGAAAGTCTGGTTTTCTGCAGCTCACGTTGCTCCAGAGAACCTTGCACCAGCTTTTTCAACTCAGGGGTGGGGGGAATCCACTGTCTTGCATTCCAGCTTCTGTGAGGGAATCCATTTCTGCTAGAAAAGTCTAATACTAGAAAAGAAAAGGTATATGTTTCCTTGTACTTTGAAAGAAACTATCATTACTATTTCCAGATAAGTTGTAAGTAAGCCATATTTATATCCTCTCTTTTTTCTTATTGATGCAAGACTAAATTGCTATGAGCACAACTACTTATGTATTTATCACGTGGCATCTTTCATTACAACAACCAAAAAAAGAAAAGAAAAAAAAAATCTAAGGAAATGACCCAAGTTAGTGGCTGTGCAGACATATAAAGCAATTTATTCAAGTCCACAGTGCCAAATATGTAGTTGATTGCGCTCATGGTGAAGTGGTTTAAGTTCAGTACATAGCAAAACCCCATTGATTTATGGGTGGGCAGTGAAGTTTTAAATGCATGGGCAGACTCTTAAGGACTGTTCATGCTAAACTGCTTTGTGCCTCAGACTAGCACTCAGTTCTTTGATGTGCTTGTTTATAAAATTGCACTTTGCATGCAACCTACTGCACAGTAGGTTTTAAAAGGTCCTGGAGCTGTCTGCAGTGACACTACCTGAATAGAAAATGCTACCTACAGCATGAAAAATTAATAAAATGTGGGCTGAAACAGAGTAAAATTGCTTAATATCAGTGGGATTTGTGCTACTTTCTATATGTTGAAGTGCTTTAATGTGAAATGTCTCCTGCTCAAATGGTGAACAATTACTACATTTTCTTCTTGCACCATTCGGTTGTCTCTCATAGCTCCTTGGGAGATTGTGGTGGTGTAATTGTTGCAGAATGAATGCTGTTGACTAGGTTATATGGATCCTTAACAAAAATTTTCTCCAGCCTCTTCCACCTGTCACCATGTTCGAGAACTACTGTGTCCTGATGCTGCCTCTGTCACTGGGGGCTTAATGCCAGTGAGGGCTTTACATCTCCATAATGAACAGGTTAAGCAGCATCTTACATGTCTTGTATATACTAAGCCACATGTGACTGTCAGATACAGGAATTCATCTTCTCAAGTTGCAGGAATTAATTTCTTGCTTTGGAGGACTTAGGGGTCTTCAGGTGCACATCCTGTGGACTTAAGATATTTTTTACTCAGAATTACTGCACCTTTTTATTTTCTTTATTTTTTAGCAAGCAGGAGCAAATGTACTAATTGCGCTGATCCTTAGATGCTAGGAATTTCCCATTAGGAGTTCTGGCCTTAGCTGCTATTCTTACTTCAAAGGACAACCCTGGTACAGACACACACAGGATCATGCAACAGAACTGGAACTGAGTCCAGATAAAAAAGTACAAGTTGCTGATGAGTTGGGTGTCTTGGGGAAGCAAATGCAGAAAGGACAGGACATGGCTATGAGTGCCAGAGGCGACAGGGGCAGCAGCTCAAGATCCCAGGTTGTGCCTGCTCTTCAGGCATCTCCCACGGCACAGGGTTCCTAAGTTGCAATGATCAGCTGACAGTTGCCAGCTGATTTTTAAGAAACTGAAAAATCTAAAAAAAATTATGGATCTATCCCCCATGTTGGTGAACAGCATCTAGGGCTACAACTGGAACTGCCAGTTACTCCACTAGTTCCCTTACTCAGTAGCTCCAGTGTGATTGAAACCAGGAGGGGATCCTTGAAGCTCTTTGTGGTGGATTGTGGAGCAAAGAGTCAAGAAATATTTAAAACAATCCCATTATGAGTGTCTTGGACATGATGCACAGAAAATTTCATGTCTGTCAGAGTTACTAAAATAGGATTTTAGCAGGTGTCCTGGGGATTCCTGCTCCTTTAGAAAGGTTCTGTCTGTCCCATCTTCACAGTACTTCGCTTCATTTCCTGTAGCAGCAGGGTCTTTATACGATAAAGAATGCAGTCCACTCTTTGTGAGGTGAAAATCAAAGAGACTGTATTCAAACTTCGCGCTCCCTTTTATCCCCTAAAACCATGTGACCTTGTAACCAATGGGGTTGTCCATCTAGGCACATGCTCCCTTGGGCTTCTCTGCCCCGGTATGTCCCCCATACCTTTGGACACGCCTCCTACAATTTCCTAGTAGGTAAAAAACTAGGAAGTTTCACGGTACTCTGGAGTTGAGACTTTTGGTTCTTCTTTTGCATTTTCCAGTGGGAAGGGGAAGCTGAGGACCACACAGCAAGTCATCCAGTCACTGCAATGCATGTTTTAGTCTCTGGAGCATCTTAATGTACTTGCAGTGGGATGTGCCTTAGTCACTATTAGCTTATCTGCCTAAGTGTTTAACTTCTGAGAGGTTTTCCAACCAGTCCTGCCTTCTGTCCTGCTATAACTAAACCCATAACAGTAGTTTAATTAAACCATGGGTCTTCTGTGCATAGTAATTTTTCTCTAAGGATCATGCGAAGTGCAGATAGTTGGAAGATGGATGTGCTTCATATTGTTGGAAGAGCTGAAATTGGAGAGTCACTCTAAAAGAGAGAATTTTTCAACACCCAGAAGAAAATCATAGAATCATAGAATCACAGAATCAGCTGGATTGGAAAAGACCACCGAGATCATCAAGTCCAACCCTTGATCCAACACTGCCATGGTTACTAGACCATGGCACTAAGTGCCACATCCAGTCTCATCTTAAAAACCTCCAGGGACGGTGAATCCACCATCTCTGTGGGCAGCCCATTCCAATGCCTGATTACTCTCTGTAAAGAATTTCTTCCTAATATCCAACCTAAATTTCCCCTGGCAGAGCTTAAGACCGTAAATCTTGTGTCATGGAAGTGAGAAGAGGACGTCAGAGACTGGTACCAAAGGCAAAACAGAAAAACAAGAACAGGGAAAGATCTGATTTAAATATTACAGCAGTAGGGTAATCTTAGATTTTGTGTAGAAAGAGATGTGCAAAATGAGTGGGTGTAGTGACACAGAAAAGAAACAAAAAGAGCTAATTACTAGATTTCTTCAAATATTCATTCATCGTACCAAATCCAGCCACTTTTCTTTTAATTTTCTGGCATCTGAAATAAATATTGGTATTCTGGCTTCCCCAATTAAATATTGCATCACTTCATAAATACTGCTAAACACATCTTCCTGGTTTTCTTCTTTTTTTTGCTCTCTCCTATTATGGTATTTTTGACAGATTTCCACCTCTTTCAGGTGCAAAACATTTTGACAGAACATAATACATACACATGGGTAAATACTGATGTTGGGGTTTAGTGGCAGGTAAAATTTACAACTACTTAATGACAGCTTTGGCTTCAGATTTGTTTAGGATCTCTGTACTTCTCAGTACAATTAATTTTCATAATTTATCATGGGCTTTGGTATTTAAGCACATATTATTTAATTCTATAATTGTATTACTTTTCAGGGACACACACTGATTTAGTGTGAAAATAGTTCTTCTGAAATCAGAAAAATATGTTGTAACTTCTAAATTTCTTTTAAAAAAAGAATAAAGTAGAAAGTGTTTATGCGTATTTGCTTTGCCAGTGTGGGATATCAAATGCATTATTGCATGCAGAAGTTTGAATTAACATCCTTGCTGAGATATAGCTACATTATTTCTCATGTGCTTTAAAGCTTTGCATTTAGTTGCTCTTCTGATGATTCAGCAAGTGCTTAAACTCAGCAAATGATTGATGGATGTGTTTGTAAAGGCTTGGATGATCACTTTATACAAAATTATAAACCTGCTGTTGTACTTAATGAGGTCAGTGAAGCAATCAGAAAAAAAATATATAATTCTGTAGCATGGGTCTGTAAGCATGATACTTCTTAGGCTTTTTAAGTTTAATGAAGCAGCTACTCAGCTGCTGAATATTCTTGTCAAACAGTCTCAGCATGGATTTTAAAACTAAAATGTTGCTGAATATTATGGTCTCCTTGGAGAGTCCCTGGCTCTTATTCCAGTTAAAAAGTCTGAATTTTTTATATGTTAATGGTTTTGAAATCAGCCATTTGCTTCCTTTTCATTGTAAATGAGGCCTGGAGTCTGATTTCCTTCCCTATTCTCTGAATGCTGTATCCTCATCAGCGGTCTCAGTTCACTTTCTGGGGTATGTGTGGTTTGAAAATAGCTAAAATAATCCTGTAAAACAAACACTTTGCCAAGCATTTTCCCATTTTAGATGCCTTTCTAAGAATATGAGTCCCTGTGTGAAAATTTGCATGGTACAACTGAGCCAGTACCCACATCAGTCCTACAAAATCTTACTGCCAGAAACTTCCATTCAGGGAGCTTCTGAAGGTTAGCACTATTACTCAAATCCAATGAAGTCAAATTACAAGGTTTCTTTTAAGCCCCAGAGAAACACTACTGTTTAAAGGAGTTTATTAATGTTTAGTTCTCAACTGCAGTGCTGGTACTACACTGTGGTGTGACTGTGGTATTCGATGCAAAATGCGTTTGAGGGTTAAACTCTGCAACATATGAATATCTAGTTGTAACTTGCAAAGTTTACATGTGACTGTAGCCAAGTGTCTCAAGGCATGCTAGGAAGTCTTTTCCTCCCTTTTGCAGAGGGATTAACCCACCCTGTACAAATGCTGACCTGAAGAGGAATCCTGCAGGAACACAGCCTGTGGAACCATGCAGCTTCCCCTCGCCTAGCCAGGAACATCCTACCAAGGTATCAGGAATTTACATTCCCAGGCTCTTTGTGAGCATAACCCTTCCTTTCCAATTACCACAAGTGAAAGTGCCATACAAAACACATGTTAAAGAGCAAAGCAGAGAAGAAACAAACTAGCTAGCTGTGATTTCTACCTCACCTTGTGGCATAAATTACCACTGCGTGCAGGCTGTTATTAAGCAGGTCTGTGTGACTAAAGCCCTACACAGGAATAATTGCCAGGTCTGCGCTCTGCTGTGGGCTGGTGATAGAAGACACTAAGCACCAGTGGAGTGTTTTCAGAGAGGATCTGAAGTGCATCAGCCATTCTCTCCTCCAATACATAACTCTTCCTGTTGGCAGACTGTGGCAGCCTTTAAACTGTGTCTTAGTTTAACAAGATTACAATTTAAAAATTAAGAGACTTCGGATGGAAGTGCGAAAGAGGAAAAAAAAAAACAGCTTTTTATTAACAAAATCTGAATACACGACAAATGGTGCAATCAAAAACCTTCAGAGGAAACAAAACAAAGTCCCAGTTCCCCAGGTGGGAGGGAGAAAGACGCGGCAACCCTGGGGGGGCGGTGGGGGTGGTTGGGGGGAAATGCAGGACTATAGCTGCTCGCAGCCCTGTGCACTGGCAGTCAGGAATGAAGGATTCCTTTTTCCCACAGGCAGTCTTGAAAGCAGAATACCTCCCTCCGAGATGGGTCGGTCTCTCTCTCTCTGCCATTCTCTGCGAGGTGTCCCGTGCGGAAAAACTCTTCCTCTCGGGAAAAGAGAACGAGGCAGCCAAAAACTGGGCTCCTGCTCTGTCCGGTCCCAGACCAAACCCCAAAAGCCCTTGAACAAAGGAGTTCCCAGCTGTCTCTGCGGTCACCGTGCTTTCCCGTGAGCCCTTCTCCTCTCCCCGCCCCTGTGCTGCCCCGCACGTGCGGTCCTGCTCTGCTCCCATCCCCTCCCTGACTACCCCCCGTCCTGGAAGAAACAGATGGCGGGGGTGGGGGGAGGACACGGGGACGGCACCCTAGGGAAAAAAAGAAAATTCCAACATCTCTTTTCAAACCTATGACAAGCTAAAAAGGGCACAAGTAAAGATTGTATAGTCCTTTGAAACATTTCAAAGGCGAGGGAGTGACAAATGGTTCAGTCTTTCCATTTATCGCTTGTGACCTTAGGAGTCTGCAGAGGGAAAAAAAAAGCAGCAGAGAGCTCTGTCTTGCTGTGTCTGAGATGGACAGACTGTTTTTCAGTGTCACATAATGTTTTAAGCTGCCGAGCAGGCTTCAGGAGTCTGGGGCAGGGAGCTAGGAATGTTTCTGCTCACAGGGGAAGCAGACAGGGATTGACGTGCCCTTTGCCCCCCACACCACCACCCTGTTCTCCCTCTTGCCCAGATGGGGACCCTCTGCCCAGCGCCATGAGGACGAGCCGCTGCAGTCACCTGCCAGGAGTCCCACCAGAGCACCCACTGGCTCCTGTGGGCAAGGCCCTGCCTGGTGGCAGCGGTGCCCCAGCCAGCAGCTGCCCTCAGTATGTCATGCAGGTGTCGTCCAAAGATGGGCAGCTGCTCTCCTCCGTCGTGAGGACGCTTGTGACACAGAGGTACGTGGGGACAGTAAATTGGGATGGGCCCTTCCCTACTGGATGCACCTTCCACAGCTGCTGCTGTGAGCCCAGTGGGAGCCTGAAGGAAAGATGTGCTGTGCTTCATGAAACATTACCACAATGCACTTGTCATTGAACTCTCATTCTAATATTGTCACTGAAAATGTTGGGATAAATCAAATTCTCTATTTTTTTTAGTATTAGAAAGCAGGCTTACTTAATTCACAGCGCTGGGTGCACATTGGGTCCCTCCACATGCACACACACTTTCAAAACTTTTCACTATTTGTACATTCTAGACGACAGAGAAACTAATATTCATTGTCTATAAATTGCATAATTCTCTCATTAATTAGTATTCTAACGGTTACTGATTTCTCATTTCGGCTAATCAATCCAGACTTTCAGTCTTTTTTATCATCTTTTTATTCCCAGATACAGAGTGTTTCAGTACAACTGCTAAATTGTCTTTGTTAGTTTCTTTTTTATCTGAAAATGTCCTTGTGGTCTCTCAGCCTTTGTTTGTTAAAGCATGTCAACGTTGGTTTAGCAAAACCTAAAATTTCAGTGATTTTCCCAAACTGTGTTCTCACAATGGCAGCTTATGACAAACCTTGCTGAACACTGGTTACAGTGGACATACACACTGCTTATGGTTAATTAAAACAATTAATTGGAAAAGTTAATTAAAACAATTAATTGGAAAAGTTATTAGGAAAATTATATTGTTTCTGACAGCATCATAGTGATTATGCTACATAATGTGGCACATTTCCTAAACATTTCCCAAGCCAGAGTGACATTTTGTCCGTGATAGTGACAAAATCTTCATTTCTGAGATCACCTGACTTGGTGTATGTGGTAGGGAGAGTTTTTGTTTCCAAGACCTCAACCAAGAGATTGACCTTCTCAACCTCAGCAGTCAGGGGAGCTGAGCTGAAGCTGCAGTGAAGAGGCCCCATGTTTCAGCAGCACTGGTGCTCCCAGCCTGCTTTCTCTTTCCTCCCACTGCACCCAGGCACCACCCAAGGACTGCCTTCCTCTTTCCTGAAAGATTCCTCTGTAAAACAGAGCATCTTAAGAGTTAAAATCAGAGTCTTTAGGTTATCAGTGGCAGGAGGAGCACCCCTCTCCCTTTGCATGTTAGCACTTCCCACCAGGAAGGTGGGTGGATTGAGGGGAGGCAGTGCAGAAGAAAAGGCCAGAGGATCACCATTGGAATAAGAGGTGGCACCCTGTACATGAGGAGTGATGACACACATCACCACTAGCATAAGAGCTGCCCAGATGAGGCAGATTTAAAACTTTCCTGATGCACTGGAGATTTCTTGCACCACTGCTTTGTGAAGAGGTGGGAAATACAAAAATGCAGAAGCACTCGGTTATCTGTCTCTCACCTTCCACTCTGGTGTTTTCGCTTTACGCTTTCTGTTGGCCCAGCAGCTTGGAGTAGTAATTACAGAGCAAAGTACTCAATCTACAAGTGTTTCCTGCACTGTTAATTCGTGACATGCACAGAGCCTGGTGTACTGACCAGTGATTTTCTCTCCCCTTCCTCCAACAGCCCCTTCAATGACCGGCTGATCTGCAGGATCTGCCACGAGGGCAGCAGCCACGAGGACCTACTGTCCCCCTGCGAATGTACAGGGACCCTGGGGACCATTCACCGCAGCTGCCTGGAGCACTGGCTGTCCTTTTCAAACACCAGCTGCTGTGAACTCTGCCACTTCAGGTTTGCGGTGGAGCGCAAACCCAGACCACTGGTGGAGGTCAGTACGTGGGGCATGTCCGTGAAAGCTCAGCTTTACTGAGAAAATCATGTTTGTTTCGTACGGGCGTCACAAAGCCTTTGCAGCTCCATGGAAGCCACAGCGAGCTGTGAATTTGGGGCTTGGCAGTCTGAGGCAGGAGCTTAGGGGAAGGGCAGGAATAACAAAACCCTAATTTTGAACTGAATCAAAACAAGCGAGAAGAACAGGATCAATGGGTTTGCTTCAGTGCAAACCTGAGTGAGGATTTGAGAAATAGTGCGCAGCAAATTCCTAGAATATCAGACAGCTTGGTTGGAAATGGAAGAGAGGTAAGTAATTGTTTCTGTAGAAAGCAAGACAAGTGTCAGGACTCAGCATGTTAAATATAGGTCAGGAATTTTTTTTGTTCTTGCTTTTGAGAGAGAGGTAACAAACTGAGGAGCCTTAGAAATGTAGTTTCCATGTCAAGCCCACAGGAAGGAATTGTTCTTGTATAGTGTCTGGCATGTTTAGCCATTTGTGAGTGACCTTTTGGCCTCCTCTTGCCTACGTACTAGACTTAACAGTGAATTGGGCAGTTGTTTCTCCCTTATCAATGAAAATTCAGTTTTTGCCAACAACAGATGTTTTAGCAGCGTCATGAAGTTCTACAGGTTTTAGGGGCCTTTTGGTCCTCAGAAAAAGAAAAAAAAAACAACAAAAAATTAAAAACCCAAAGTCACTGTCTTGACACTGTTAATGAACTTTGTCCTCCCGTGTACTAATTTGGAAAAAGAGAAAGCAAAAATTATGCTTTCTGTTGAATTTAAAAATGAATTACAATAGTAACATTTGACAAAATTAATGAGAAGCATCTTCTTGTACCAGTTGGTGACATAGGCACTTACAGGCTGAGCTTGGGTTCAGTTAACCCTCCTAAAAGCCTTATAAACCCCTATCCCCACAATAAACTTCCTCTTTCGTCTGTCCCTCCCTGGTGGTCTGTGTGAGCTCCTTACGGGGTCGCCGGGCCACATGGTGGGGGCAGGGGGGAAGAGCATTCACCTTCCAGGTAATGGGCTGGCACCCAGGGCCTGAAGGTTCCCCCTCCAATTGATCTGCCGTATTGGCCTACTTCTTTTTTTAACTGAGATGATTCTCCCCAGAAGAGCTGTGTTTCCAAACCATGAATCAGGTACTATGGTGGTGACTAACCAGTCCTTCAGCATTCAAGGAAAATTATTTGTGTCTTTTGCCTCTTGTTGTATCGGATAAAGGAGCTCTGGTGACTTGCCCTTTGGCAATTCAAAGCAGCTCAGATTTAAATTGTCTTGATTATGGGCTGCACTGTATGGGAACTGTTGTGCTCCCTCCAGCTGACCCTGCTTCTGGTGGGACTTCTCAGAGCATTGAGACCTCAAACTTCCTTTTTTCCCCGTCACTTGTGAACTTCTTCCATCACAGCAGTGCTGGGGAGATTGGGCTGTGTTGTTGTAAAGAAGGAAGAGACGGATTGTGGTACACAAAGACTTGCTTTCATATTGAAGATCACTGAGTCCTTCAGTTCATCTCCCTTCTGGAAGGCACCTGCCAAGCTCTACCACGGGAAATTGAAACATCAGTGCCAATCACTGGAGCTTTCTGTCTCATTTTGGAGCTACCATTTGGAGTCGTTTTTGCTAGATAACAGCAGCCCTTGGCAGGCATCAGCAGAGCAAGTCTAACCATTTCATTTGATTTCAAAGCTCGTTCTTCGGATAAGGGGATTGGAGACATCACAGTCCGTTAAATGGAGCTATTTGCCAATAGTCCAAGAGGTCTTGTCCACGTGCACAGGGTTCACAGTAATGCAAAATTCATCTCAGGAAGTGCAGTCAAGGTCTGAACCCACCTCTTCTATCCTGTGCTAAATGTGCAGCATCCCTGTACAGTGTAATGGAAACTACAGGTGTGTGGGACATATGCCTGGGCATGTGCATATCTCACTATCAAAGTGCCTAAGGATGAGTATCCCAAAGGAAAAAGCAGCTACTGCTGAGTAGCCCTCCTTCTCTCTCCCAGGTCTTGGTCCCCCACTGCCAGTGAGATCCTGTCTGTGTTTGACACAGAGGTCCCAGACTGAAGCAGCAGAAACTCTAGACATAGAAGGAAAGAGAAATTTATAATATGGTGGTTGGTATGCATAGATCTGATGTTCCTTGTGACAAGTTGGAAGGATCTCAAAACCAGCACAGTGACATCAAACTGGCAGCAATTTCAATTAGTGACTGTTATAGACCTTCCTGTTTTATATAAACCTTTTTAATGCAGCCAATCCACAGAAAGCAATCCACTCTAGAAATGTGTGACATTATTCACATAGCTGCTTTTGCTGTTCAGCATGAAGATTAGGCAAGCTTAATGTAAGTATCATCTTCATTTCAATTTCCATATTGCATCTATGTTGCTTCCACTTGGCTTAGCACAGAAACAGACACAAAACTAGGTAGTACAAATGTATTTACGTGCAATAAAATGTTAGAAAACAGCCAGCCATAATATAAAAATGGTATAAAAACATTATGTGACCATATGAGTCAGGCTTGTGTTTCTTGTAAGTTACTTCCATGTTTTAAACCAACTAGGATTTGGTATCTACTGCAAACAAACAGAAGGCACTTAATTAACAATATAAAACTCATAAGCAAAATAGCATGATTAAGAGAAAAAATAAAGTCAGAATCTTTATCACAATATTGGGAAGAAATTAACTTCAGTTCTTCCCCAATTTGCTGCTGGCTATAGAGCTCACGTTAGTAAAGAAAAATAAATTAAAAAAAAGTCTAAAACCTACATTTATGCATGAGGTAGTTAAGGTAAGCTTACATTATAATTTCAACCTCCCAGAAGCCTTACATTGAAATATGAAATTACTTCTTGTGCAAGACTTTGAGTCATGCTGTTTTTATCTCTTGGGATTCTTCTTACTTATTTTTCTTCTCCACTGCTCAGTGAAGCAAGTCATTAGCATTAAATTACTGTAATGAACAGACACCAGATTTGCTGCATGTAGATTTTGAGAGGATCATGCTTAAAGCCAGAAGGAAGATAAATGGTTACTCAGCATAGTCAGGAAGGAAAACTCACAAATCAAAGTTTAGAGGAACTACTGCTGTCCATAGAGGTTGGGGAGCAGATAAGCAGATAGGGCTGGGAGCAGATAATTTAAGGATGTGTGTTCTCTTTCCCTTCTTGACCAAAAAAGGGCAGATTAAAAGGGCAAAGTGATGGAGATGCTTTTCTACCTTATTGTCTTCAGATGTGAAAATAATCTCTCCAAGACCCAAGTCACACAGGGAGAATTTGGAGCAGCCGTGTAGATTTCCAGTAGAAGTATGTCAGAGTTAAAGAAAGCATTAAAGAAATTAATAATAAACTCCCCAATAAATATAGTTTTAAATCCATAAACTCTTCAAGATGCACTTTTTTTTATCTATTCATTACCATTGGGCAAAAATCCAGAGACCAAACCAGTCTGTTCTCTCTCCTTTAAGAAGAAATTAAGTAGCTGTTTTAAGTACCTTACAGCAAAAATTTGCTACAATGCTTGACTTTTCCCAAGCACAAATCTTTCTCATAGTACTGACAGCAAGAATGCAAACAAGAGCAACCCACTGCCCCCTCCCCTCCAAAAAAAACCAAACCAAAAATTACTTGTCAGTGAACAAACTGTGCCTTGAAACCGTCACATTTGTAACTGCTCATTCCTAAATTTATAGTGATCAAGGACAAAAAACTTGAGGGAAGTTCCCAGGAGAAAGTGACTGAACAGTCAGAGATGCTACTCTTTAAGGATGAGCAAGATGAGGGAAGACGCTGGGGGTTTTCAAAGGTACAGCTGTTTTGTTTTAGATAATGGTTTTGGTGACTTTTCTTTGGACATCATGATTCTGTAAAGGAGTTCTAAACTATCTCATTATTATCTATCTCTGTCTTTCGTGCTGATAGCATTTCCTGACACCAATAGGAGCCAGTCAGAGTTTGCCTTTTCTAGGAAAATAGAAGTGCTAAGATGAAAAGTTTTATTGCGTCTGTCTTTTTGGAGTCCTATCAAGCATTTATTATCTATCATGATTTTTGTTTCCATATATTTCAACTTGTAGATCAGGACATTTGCAATGTGTTGAAATGGTTTATTCTTTTCAGAAAACAAACAAAAAAATATATGTTGCCAATAACAAATCTGCTTAGCTTTTGAATTAAAATGCAAAACTTGTTTTTTGTTGATTTTCTTGAATGCATGCATTTCTTTCCAACTGGGAATATAGTCATGCAAAATAGAATGGGAGTAATATGGATAAAAAGAAATACTGCTTCTCCCACAGTTCCACAAAATCTTTTATTCTTGACACATATTGAAATCTTTTACCTGTTACAAACATCTCCTGAAATGTAAGTGGTACAAGTGGATAGAAGTGATACAAGTGGATAGTAGTAAAACAGAATAGCAGTAAGTCAGACTAATGTTAAAAAGTCTATTGTGTAATTGGACCTGCAAGAAATTTTGTAGATTTTAACAGCATAATATAGGAAGATTTGCTTATTTGCTATCAGAGAATTACTAATGCTTTTTTTAGAGGTTGAAGAAGTCTAATGCAGAAACTGGACTCTACATCTACTTGGTGGAACTTTGTGCATTATAGAATCATAGAATGGTTTGGGTTGGAAGGGACCTTAAAGACCATCTCATTCCACACCCTGCCATGGGGAGGGACACTTTCACTATCCCAGGTTGCTCCAAGCCCTGTCCAACCCGGCCTTGGACACTTCCATGGATGGGGAAACCACAGCTTCACTGGGCAACCTGTGCCAGGGCCTTACAACCCTCACAACCAAGAATATCCTGATATCCAGGATATTCTACTCTCTGTCAGTGTGAAGCCATTCCCCCTTGTCCTTTCACTTCAGGCTCTTGTAAATAGTCTCTCTCCATCTTTCTTGTTAGCCCCTTCAGGTCCTGGAAGGCCACAATTAGGTCACCCCAAAGCTTCTCTTCTCCA